TTAGGGGGACAAAATTCAAAACGAGTAATAAGTCAACATCTTATTTTTTCGATGCTCAATCTCGCATTGATATTGTTGGATTTTAACATAATTTTGACGCGTCAAAATTACAATAAAATCCAACAGTACCGATGCCAGATCAAGCATCGAAAAAATAAGATGTTGACTTATTACTCGTTTTGAATTTTGTCCCCCTAACACATGCACGTAGCTGGCTCAATTTCGTTGGTACTAGCTGCAAAGACATTAAATTGAAGTTGCTACATATTTGGTATCTTAGTAAGAAATACAGTACTATTTGGATGTATGATCACTAATCGGGACTGAGGTTGACTATATGCATGTCCTGAGAGGTGCATTTCTTACAAAGGAACATACCGAACTGTCAATCACTGAGATACGTAGTCTTCACAAAAATATTTGACACTTATTTTTTTCATCCACAACCGTGAGCATTAAAGGGGTGAAAACAGCCCTCAAAGTTAGGATGGCATAATATATTCAGGCGTGTATCTCGAGAACTATAGGGAATAGTCAAATAGTACAAATTGACAAAGATATGTCTTTAAAAGCTAAAAATTTGAACACACAAACAGATTTGCAAAAAGTTAATTTGTATAAATGATATATTAAAAAATGTGAATTATCTGTTAATTTTTCATGTTAAATGTTAATATATTTTCTTAACAATTTGTATGTGGCTACTACAAAGCCATGTGTAAATTACAGATAAATCCAAATTTTTATTTCTATTTTCTGAAGAAAAGTTAGTCTGTCTAACATTCTTTTGTGTCCCTTGCTAGTATCGATATCAAAGCCAGTGTAAACAAACGGATTTTACACTAATATTGTTTTTAAGTAAGGATCGGCTTTTTCAGTTGATGCTAAAATTCGATGTACATGTAAACAATTTACTTCCGTTAAGAAAACGCACAGAGCAAGGAGATCGCAACGGCCTAGCTTCACTTGGCCGATAGACAGTAGATTATGGTCAGACGTAGCAGACAGAGGAGCGGAAACTGATTTTTCTGTTTCGTACCACTACTTATCCCTAAAACATCTATAACCTGTTTCACACAGTTTCATACTGCAGTTTTGTATTTCAAACACCAGTTTTAGTTCACAGATTAGAGATATTTTAGGGATAAGTCAGGAACGAAGCACAGAAATCGCAGTTTCCGCTTCCCTGTTTGCTACGTCTAACCATAATCTACTATCAATCGGCCAAGTGAAACTAGACCGCTGCGATTTCCTTGCTCTGCGCGTTTTCTTAACGGAGATAATGAAGAAATGACGTACAAAATTAGTGCCGAAAAAAGATGAAACAGTGAGTCCAGCCTATGTGTGTGCATGTGTGACAGAATCACACGCATAATGTCAGGCTCGGTGCTCATATGATAGACAAAAGATAACGATGCTATTCCATAAATAAATGAATTAGGCAAGAAGTTCAATCGTTCTTATCAGTGATAGATATGAGGACATCGTTTCTTATTTCCTTCACTGGAGATTGAGATCACTGAACGTGATTGTACACCGGACTAGTAAGGAGATTCGAACATATATGTATAGAAAGGAGGAGCGAGTTTTCGGATCTCGCGGACACGAGTTTCGGTGTCCGTCGGACCTCGTCAAAGCGATCTCGTACGACATTACCGGAAATTGCGGACGCCGCCTTTCTCGACCCGAATCGCTCTCGCGAATGCACCAAATGCACGAGTTTTGCGGCGAATTCGACAGCTTGTATGCATACAAACGAGGATCGCGTTCGTGTATGCGGCAACTCACACTTCACCGTCGCAAGAATAGTCCTGTTCCTGCGATGTGTACACTTTGTGTCTATCCTAGTGTCCACGACGACTACATTAATTAAATATACGCTCCCTCTCGCGCTTCCCTTCCGACCGGCCGAACGCTCGCCACCTTTGATTGTCCAGAAAGTTCCCATTGCGGCCGACTGAGCTATCTCCCCATCCCTGCTATGTTTTGATGAAACCTGCTCGTTGTGTTTCTCCGTTGAACGCTCGCGTGGTTCTCCACGGTAATCACACTTTGATCTTTTGCCTGGCACTTTGATTAACGAATTTGGTTAAAACATGATGCTGAATTCGTTGTCCGCTTTCAAGGAATAATATCATTATGTTATTATGAATTTATATTCATAATAGTGAATGAATATGATTAGTAGACAATATGTTACACAAAATGAAAAATTTGTAATGACAATTTGAATGACAGTATAAAGATGATAATGTGCATTTAATTTTAAATATTCCAAACGTTCTTGGAGATTATGCACATTCTTATACCAGTTTTCTATATTATACATGAATCCTTTACTAATCGGAAATACATAACGTATAATAAATAAATGATCAGAAATACAGAGCAACAGCAGAGGACATCTAGATTTCCATTAATAATCTGTTCATGGGATCCCTGGATAATCGCGGCAGTGGATTGACGTCGACTACTTGCGATGTTAATTCCGTGTCCATCTGCTTCCTAATCGGATCTTGCCCTACCGCGCGAACGCAAAACTTTGAACCGCACTGCGGTTACGCTTAAAACGAAACGAGCATCCGTGCTGCTGAAATTGCCATCGCGTCCTTTTTCTTGCCGTTTGGCTTCCAAAAGGTTCGCGCCGTGGCGCAATTGCGTTTGCGATACCAGACACCGACACCTTTTCACGGTCGTCGGAGGACCTTCCGCTACCCCACGGGACGTGTACTCGCTAACGTCGCTCGGATGCATTATTAAATGCGATGCGACGTCGGAAAGGCGACCACGTGAATAAATGGACGAGGGTGGCTGCCTTGTTAATCGCTAATGAACACTATTTGCCTTGAATTATTAAACAGTAGAGTCCGAGAAAGTGGAGACTGCTTCGAAATGGGAATTATTCACAGACATGATTTTTTATTAAACCTCACAAACAGGGTATAGGAAGTAAACTATAAACTGCAGGATAAATGAACGTCAAATTTAAGTTAAGACGAGAACAAATAGTATTCCTAATGAACACTATTTGAGTTGTATTATTATTAATCATAATATATTAAACATTAGAATTGAAAAGGTGTAAAGGATTTATTATCAGTTGTTGTGTTATTATATATGTTACGTTATGTCATATTAATGAATATATGCTAAAAAATAAGTTAAAAAGAACAGCTGAAATTGGTAATGAACAAAATCACTGTAACAGTCATTCAAAGGGTGATCGGTATCTCAGTCACCGGTATTAATTTCGTCGATTTTTCATAACAGAAATCAGCGTGCGGTTATTCAGTTACGAGCGCATTGCGTGCACGCAGGATTAAAAGATTGACCGTCAACGCGTACGATATCGCGTCGTCGAACCGGTGATGTTTAGTTCTCGGAAAATCGTCCGAATGATAAAGCGTTGTCGATTTGACAGCACGGAATTCTGTGACCGATCAAATCTGATTCTGTCCAACGGTAAATCGACAAAAGTCGTGAACCAAACCATAATTCAGTGTACATGTGCAATAGTAACAATGATAAATTACTGAATTTAATAAAGTATCAACCATTTTAATAAAATAACATTTATCATATAAAAATTATATATAAAACTGTGTAACAAAGATTTTTTCATGCCATAGATAATATATTCTTTTAAGAACAACTCCAGTTCTTTAGTTAATGCCTTTCCTCATTAAAGTCTATATTCCAGCAAACAATCGTTTATTTTATAGTACCGATCATAGTTATCGTGAACGTGATTCGACTTTCGCCTCTGAAAATGTACTTAAACGCGGTCCGAGCGGTTCCCGTGGACGAATCGTCAATAGACGAGGAATATTATGGAAACGAACGTGGACGATGAAATGCCGGCGTCCTTGTAACGCTTTGCCAAACCGCCCCATGACGAGCTCGTTATCGCGTCATCGTCCTCATAACGAGCTCGTATCGTCATTACGTTTGCTGATTCGAGTGCCACCACGCCGATTCGCTACGCGATGTTCGATAATCCCGGATGCGCGTTTAGAAATCCAATAACCAAGAACCATCGCGTTACTTCATCCTTTTTCCCGATTTAAATGGCCACCTTTCTCTTATACATGGACGAAATACTCTTCTTTATTTCTACTTTATTACGAAAAATACTTTTTAAAATTTACCAGGGAAGGATTCGGGCGGTCAAACTCCGATTTTAATGAAATTTGACAGGCTCCATTATTAGACACGTATGTTTTTTTAGAGGCCTACCCAGTGTGATCGCCCGAAATTTAGGTAATTTTTGGAAATTTTTTTAAAAGAAGTAGTCCATGGAATGTTTTTAAACTTTATGGATATATTTGCCTATGATTGAAGTATGAACGAATTTATTTTTTGGTACAAAAATAACGAAAGGCGACCGAGTTATGTGCTATCTCCCGAAACGCCAAAAAAAAGTGCCTCCACTGCTGCAATGATACAGGTTGCTACGATGCCCGAAAAAAAAAGAAAAATATCCTGTTAAACTAGGTTTTCTCTATCGAATGAACTAGGATATCCGAGAAATGTTGAGATCTGACAAAATGTCAATCTCTAGTGTTAAAAAGGTTCTCCACCTCTGGTCTATAGTTTCACCTATTACTTTGAAATTACACGACTCATGTGTGGCGCTCAAGTACCAAATTCTGCAGTTTATATATCAATCAGAAATGATCACAAAAATCATGAATCACTGTGAAAAATTATCGCCATCATTTTTACCCGCCATCTTTAGTTAATGCTGAGTCATCTACCAGTCTTGTTTATGAAATTTTGCCGACTCTACGGTAACCGGCGTGATTTGGAGAAAAGACGCACGTAAACAAACACGGGAAGCTGGTGCGGTTGAAGGGCGAGAGTGAGAACGTAGCGAGACAGGCAACAGTCGACGGCAAAAGGGAAAATGTCTGGGGGTGGCTGATGCGCGGGCGCAGCTTTGCGGACCAGAGTGCGCTGAGTATACTTATAACCGGGCGGATGCCGTCGGCCGTTAGTCTTGCGCTTGCCGTCACCGCGGAAACTTGTTCGAAGTTATAATCGACGGTGAGCCCCGCATTTCGCGATTTGTTCGTCCAAGCGAATCTCGGGTTGTCGCGAAGTGTGTTTTAATTCCGTGCGTGACCGTGAGATATCCGTCTGTGAAGTTTCATCCATTCACTATTGAGAGTTTGTATCAGCAATAAGATCGTACGAGAATAATTGTACATTTTGTTGGTGATGATGCATTCAAAGATTTGCAAAGCCCGTGTAAATCTATTTTAACTGTACTTACCAAGCGGCCATTGAAACGTGTGAACAATCTGATGAATAGTTGCACAAAGTACATAAGATTGTAACGGTTGTTAACTGTCGTTCAGATAGAGTTGCAAGATCAAATGTGTAATTAAAAGGTGTCACTGAACCTGTTTCGATGGGCGGAGACCGTAGCTGGATCAAAACGCGGCGAGGGTGAAAGGTCACAGAGTTGTGGCAGCGAAGGAAGGAGGTGAAAGCTTACAGAAAGAAGACCAAGAAAGGAAGAAACAGGGACGGCACTGCAGGGAATTCGAAGGTGCTCGCCTCTGGCCAGATACACCGCGGGTTGTATAAATCTGTGTATATGCATAGAAGAGTCGCGGCAATAGAAGAGGGCTCCAACCACGACAACGTGTATCTGGGTCATACTGCCGCTCTCCCTCTCTCGCGGGCGGGTGCTGTCGCTTCGATGTACGGGTGTTACTGTCGTTTCTCGTTTCCCATAATTTCACAAGATTCCGCAGAAAAAAATCGTCGTGTCGCGTCGTGCGGAATCAAGAGAGAGGGTGGTTACGTATTTCAATTGCAGCATTGATATCTCATTTTAACGTCGTCGACGATATTTTAGAAAAAAAAAGAATCGTTCGCTCGTAAAAGAATGCATCGAGATAAGCAAACGGTCTATTATCAAGAACGCTTTGATATAAGTAAATGATCATTGGTAAGGGAAAGCAGTGCGTCGATTGAAACGTCCGTTATATTCGCACGGGAATTACCACAAAGAACAATTGCATAGATGGTGGAACACTTCGGTTTCGAGTTGTAACGCGGTTTTTCAACGACCGATGCACGCGAGCTCGTTTCGAGCCCTTTGTTCGCGCGAACGGTGGTGTTGTATCGTGGTTCGGTTGAAATTTCGATCGGTGACCGGAATCGAGGTCGAATCGTCCGCGTAGATTCGACGATCTACCATCCCGTGACCGTAACGAGCTGTTAGAGGAAAAGGAAGAGTCGGAGGAAGGAAGAGAGTGTCCACCCTGGGGGACAATCCAGCGCCACGCGAGAACTATCTGCGGAAGAGCAATCAGCTAGCGCGAAACCCGTTTCTCTTTAGAGGACACATTGGACGATGCTCGGTAAATAATGAACCCCCGCAGTCATTTATCAAGCTCGAAGTAGCACCGTTTCGAGTAGATGGAAGAGCGACCGGTTTCGAGTCTCCAGGATGAAGAAATAACAACTCGCATTTTTCTTTCTATGTATCTGCTCGAACGTGATCACTCTGAGACGTTTCGCTTCCTCGTTTAATACCAAATACTATCACGTTGAACAAACGATACTATCGCATCGATGAGAATATTTGCACTAGTTACTCGGTTATTAGCGTTGCGAATGAAATGAACAGTGCAAGGTCGATGTCGTGTTTGAGATGCGACCGACGATCGGGTGGACACGGTGGATTCGCCGCGATAACTTCAGATAGCGGTGCACTAGCTTCATGAGAAGAATTATTATCCTCGATCACGGCAGAGCCGTTCGCCTGGTGAACCATGAGACGACGAAATAACAACAACAACAACAACGGTTACAACGGTTGCTGTTGTCAAGGCAAGAGAGGTCGCAGCGGATGCAACGGTGGAAGCGAACTGCCGGACTGGTGCATTTACGCGACCGTCGCATTAGTCGCCGTCGGTTGTTACTTAAACGCACTAAGTGGTGATTTCGTGCACGACGATATTCCCGCGATAGTGAGGAACAAGGACGTGCTCGCGCAGACACCGTGGACTAGTGTTCTGAAAGATGATTTCTGGGGGACGCCCATGCACGATGTCAATAGTCACAAGAGTTATCGGCCGCTGACGACGTTAACTTTTCGGTAAGTGATGCTCTTTCTCTTTTGAATCAGTTAAGCGATTGATTTGGTTTCTGTATATTCCGTAAAAATGGTATTTTAAACAGTTGATCTTCCAAAAGTACTTTATAGTATTTTGTATACAATCGTACAGATCTAAGAACCTGTTATTTTATTAACTCTATTTTTCATGGTATTTACGATGTGAAATGAAAGTAACTAAATATCTTTATAGCATATCTAAAGGCAATGTACTTTTGCGTAATTTATATTGTTGATTACACAAAGCTGATTTGGGCCAGTCCTAAAGCAAGCAATAAATGTGTATTTTACAATTAAATCCAACATATTCATAATCTACGGGGCGTCTTAATGTTAAAAATGCCAAATTAAAGGAAATGATTTTTCATCATGTTAAAATACTTTAAATATATGTTAATACAAAATAGGAAAAGACAGTAAAATTGATACGAAATTGATTATTAATGGCGAAGTTTGGCAAGAATGCAGCAGACAGTTTTTTATACTAACATGTGTAGGAATTTTTCTAAAACATGACGCGTGAGTCTTCATTGTCATATACATATTATTTGTGCCCTCTGAAGGCATCAATTTATTAATAAACACTGTAGCTAAAATTTCTGGTTTCCTTGGGACATACTATAACGTCAGGCTCCTCTCATTAATCTTGAATATAGAAATGCAATATACATCTTTAGATCCTGTAACTGTAATTATGAAGGCCATGACTACCCGAACTTGCTTTGGTTCATTAAATCAGATCCAAGTACTATCGCTTCTAACATTTTATCGACATTTACATGCTCATATCGCTTAATCTAGATTGTTTACTATATTCATTACATATTTGCGCAAAATATCTGAGGATTAATCCATAAAAATTGATAACATTATAAAATAGTCACTGGTTCATAATTCTTTGTAACAGAACTGTGCATTTTGTGCATTTATAAAAAATTGGATGAGCAGATAAGGGCTATTATATAAAATATGAGAAGTACACATTGCAACAATTAAATAAAAGAAATCCTTTTATCTTACTGTTAAAAATGTTTTATTTTGCGTATTATTCGTAACAATTGTATTACGTCACACGACCTTGTAATTTTTATAACTCTTCTAAACGCAATCACATTCTTGTTTTTCTCAACAATTATTAGTATATGTAAAAGACGTTCGGTAACAGGAGGTGTCCATTAAAATCACTGCAAGCAGCTCGTGGGCAATCAGCAATGGTATTATTAAAACGAACTCCTTGCGTACGTGCTACAATTAGTAGATATCGCAAGGTACGCAATTAACCCTGGCGAATTCAAAGTAACCAGCAATGGAAGCTTTAGCCCCGTTCCGTTGGCTTATCACGAGTATAATCGCAGCGTTGTATTTTTCTCAGGTCGAAGCTCGATTTCTCAGTTTTCAAAACTTTCGCTCAGTTGATAGTAATCACGAGAAGCAAAGTTTTATTTAGTGTGAATTTCAAATGAACGTAACGTCACTCTAAGCTGTGATTTGTTATTTAATTCAATGGATTATTTATTGTTTATTTAGCTTCATTTATTCAGTGTAGTAAACTGCAGATTTTATGATTGTATAAAATAACTGACAAAAATAAGTTAGAAATTTCATCAAGATTACTTTAAATAATTTTTTTTCTTTAAAAAAATCGACTTCAATATATTAAAACAGCAACGATGAAGTTATGTTACAGACAAGTGGAACAAACATTCTATGCAATAAAAAAACATACGTAATAGTCACAAGTGAGACCTCTAAATGACAAGAATTGACTTAACAATAATAATTGAATTGAGACTATAAAATAAGACGATTTTACATAAAAGTGAACAGATAAGGAGTGATTAGAAAGCTCTTAGGCAAGCAGCTCACGAAATGACGCCCCTTCCGATAGTTAATATCCCGTAATCTCAAGACGAGCGAACATCACTGCCGGCACGGAGGCGCGCGTCCCGTAGCCCCTGTAGTTCCACCGTCTTAGTACCTCGGGAATTATGGATGCGTTCTACTTCCGGCAACGAGCGAAACGCGGAACCATGATGCTCGAACCCACCCCCGCGTTTTCAGTCACTTAAACGTCATTCCGGCTCATCTTTCCATGGGAATATACATCTCTGTTCGTAAGTCTTATTGATTATCAGGAAATCTGATAATGAATTATATAGTGTATAAAGATGGTGTACGTCATATTTGATTCAAACTTTGCGATTCTTAAACCTCTCGAAGAAGTTTTTATTGGTTAAAGATAAATTCTTTATAATATAATATAAATATTTATTTTATCTATTATTAAATAGTCATCGTTAGTAATCAAAGGGTGATTTCACACCTTAGAAAGGATAAGACCCGATAAGAAAGTACTTACTGATTGTTTGTCATAGTAACTTAAGCATACAATGTAATGTCTCGTGAACACTAAATCTACCGACATGTGTTATATTATTGTACTGTATTGACATATGTTGCATTTGAGTGCAATTTAGTGTTGTTGGTAATAGATTAAATAATAATTACAATTTTGATAAGATGACAAAGCAAATTTCGTTTTCCTTATATTTCGTGCAGCGGAATTTAAAAACATTTATTTGACCGGTGCATAGTAGGTTTCATAGTGGAATCGCTGAATGATATTTAGGTAACTTTACCTGTTAGACGCCAATTCTTATTTTATCTGTTTTAGAATATATTCTAAGACTTATGAACGCAGGTATACAGAGGAAACCTCGTCTAGTACAAGCAAGCGCGTTCGAAGTTGGCAACAGCATCTGGAGCGTTAAGGCGAATGAGCGATGTGCCGGTGTCTTGCGGTATGATGGATCGCCCGATACCAGCCAATATGCAGTATTGCGCGAGGAGTGTGGCAAACTGGTATCCATGCATCAAATCGGCGGCTAGGCGGAAAGCGGGCACCACCGCGCCGTTGGTACCTGTACCCGAACCCGTACCCGGGATACGGTGTAACGGCGCGTCCACCCCCTGTTTCTCGGTTCTTGTCACCCGTGCCGCGACCGCACCGCAGCGGCCATCCATGACACGCATCCGCAATTTTCCGTTCACCGTTTGGCATCAGCAAATCGATACCACCTATCTGCGCGCAGTATTCCTTTTATAAATGTGAGGTCTTCGACGACTGTATTTGTAATCAAGAGTCACGATCATCATGTAGGTCAGACATGGCCAATTCATTTCCCCCTACTCTAATAGCTCTCTCCACTTATTGTTAGTGCAGTAGTCACAGTAACTCGGCGGACCATAATACGTTCATACTACTTAACGCATCCCCATCTATACTCCCAATTGACCATGCCTTGTAGGTATTCATATCTTGTGTGATTACGTTTTCCCGAAATCTCAGACGTAGAAAGGGACAGCGCGTAAGAGAACGAGAGATCGTGCATCGAATACAAGATTAAAACCTGTGTATCGAATAGTAATAATAATATTAATAATGCAATTACTTTTTGTTCTTGTTTTCTTTTTCAATCAAAACTGTTTAACGTATTCGTGAGATTCTTCTGATTAAAATGACAGTGATATTGTAGCGATTTTACCGCTAGCATGCCCTTGTCAGGGACAGAAAGGCCAGTTTAGGATTTTTATTGTAGGGATCTGCGTGACGCTTGTCAGCGACAGATCTGGTGGTCACTCGCGCAAGGATTAACCCTTGAGAAGATCGTAAACAACTTTCTTCGGGCCTGGTATTTTGACTAAACTTTATTGTTTCTTTACCAGGAAAAACGAGTTCCCTGACCTTGTGTAGGGCAGGAGAGTAACACCCTGGAGAAGCCAACGGTTCAGTTAGATAGAGATTTGTAGCCGAGTTAGATCGAAGTTCGCCACGTGTGTAGGCGTTTGTGAATTAATAAAGCTCACCCCGCAATTTGCAAATCGTGGTTGAGAGTAGAATTATTTATCTAATATTCTCTCTCAGAAATTGTAAATCCTAAACTGGCCTTTCTATCCCTGGACAACAGCATGTTAGCATCGAAGTCGCTACAATATATTAGGTCGTAAACTTAATTTTGAACAGTGTACGTAACATCTATTGTAGAAGGTAATGACTATAATTATTGCTGAAAATTGTCGTAATTGATAGTTTTGACATTACAACATATGGCAATTTTCTCTCCATTGTTAATGATTTATTCGTTGTTTACATACTGATTTACAAGTTACACGCTGATGTCTACAAACATCAATTGAACAAATTGAACTACGAATTGTTGCGAAAAAGATCAGCAATAGTGAGTAATAGACGCAAAGTTCTTTGGCATTCTTTGGCACGATAACGCTCGGTCACATATTGCAAAAACTGTCAAGGAAACACTGTTCCAGCTCGAATGGCAAATCTTTTCACACCCAGCGTACTCACCGGACATAGCACCTTCTGATTACCACTTGCTCAGATTGATGCAGCACGGCCTGGCTGGTATACGATTTCGAAAAGTCGAAGAAGTGCGAAAATGGGTCGATGAATGGATTGCTTCGAGGCGCTTGTATTGCCAAATTAACAGAAAGATGGGGAAAAATTATAGAAAATAATAGAAAATACTTTAATGGAAATAACTTGTACCAATTTTTCAGAAGAAATGCGTTTCTGAGCGAAAAATATAATCAAAATTAAGTTTACCTTTTAATAGTTTGAATTGTGTTTGTTCATATATGAAAAATGCTAATAATTCATTTTTTACTTAAGTATATCGTAAGCAAGTATCGAAATTATATCGTGTCTAGATATTCAATCGGGACTGAACATCACATCAATTACACTCACAAGTCTGTAGAACTGTTTCATTCACTTATCGAAGGAATACTATGTACGAAATGATAATTTATGTTTTTACTTATAAAAGTAAAAACTGAGAACATATTAAAGATTCTGACAACACATTCGTAATAGGACACAGTGAAGTATTTCTCTCGTCAATTTCCGCCAACATATTCTTGAAACCGAATAACAATGCGAGCGAAGTATTTGAATTTCAAAG